CAAGTTTTAGAATAACATAAAACAGTATTTTAAGACTTTTAACTTTTATACAGAAATCTAAAACTTGGAGAAACAGAGAGAATCAAGTAATGAATAATTTTTCCCCATGTGTCCTCAGCCACATCAGACAAGTAGTTTTGCATTATTTAACCTCCCAAGCATATGAAATTTAAGGCTTTGTGTATATTCTCATGTAGGCATCATTTGTTTTAGAATTTGTTTTCCTAGATAATGATAAAATTGAATCATAGAAATCCTAGCTTCAAAGACAGTTTTATTCTAAGCCTATGCAATTCAAAGTGTGGCTCAAAAGCAATGGTGGCTCATTATGAAAGGTGAAGACCAAGCTCCAGGAGTCCAATCAATGAGAGAGAGGAGGGATTCTATGAGCAAGAGACATCGAGATCATGATGGGAAAACGTACAGAGACAACCAGCCAAACAAGTGGAGACTCATAAACTGTGGACCAACAGCTGTGGAACCCCTGTGGGACTGGACTAGGCCCTCTGGATAGGCGAGGCAGTTGTTTAGCTTGAACTGGTTAGGGGTTCCCAGGCAGTGAGATTGGGATCTATCCATGCATGAGTGGGCTTGTTGGAGCCCAGTGCCTATGTGGGACACCTTGCACAGCCTTAGTGCAAGGGAGAAGAGCTTGGATGGACCTGCCTCAACTGAATGTACCAGGCTCTGCTGACTCCCCATGGGAGATCTTACCTTGAAGGAGGTGGGAAATGGGGGGTAGGGAGGAAGGCTGAGGGGTAGGAGGAGGGAGGTAAGGGGAATATGTGGTTGGTATGTAAAATGAATAGAAAAATTCTTAATAATAAAAAGGGGGGGGGAAGATGTGCCGAGGAGTGTCCTATCACAATATTTTGACATTGTGGTGATGTTCAGATGCATAGCTTCTCCAAGTATTGACTTTTTCTTATCTTTTCTAAATGACCACTCTATGATGGTCTACAACAGACTGCAACAACTGCCATCTCTTAATATATATATATAGTGCAAAGAAGCATAATGTAGAAACTCTGTGCTTTGCCTTCCCCTAGATACGTGAGCCAATGTTGGGAGATTTGGTGGGGAAGGGTGTGCTGCTGGTATCTAGTGGATACTGAGGACAGTCTCTTCACCCAGGAATTACCTGGCCCGAAATTTCAGTAGTTTCCAGATGAAGGAAGCTTGACCTAATGTCAAGCTAATGTAGGTGGTTCAGGCTTCTCTGTGTGTTATCTGCAGAAGGATTGGTAGAAGAGTCAATCTGGTTACATGTTGTCTACACACTGTAGGCTTCATATTTCATCCTGAACATTAATGCAATGTTTTGAAGATGAGATTAGAAGGTAAAATTTGCTCCAGATCCTTTAAAAGTGTAACACAGTGCTTCAGTTTACAAGGCCCCACTTTCATGTGCACCATGGTTTGTCTACAAGGTTAACCAGTATCAGGGCTGCCAATAAAAAGTTGGGGAGAGGACTAGAAATTTTTTGGGTATATAGGAATTTTGTGTATCAAGTCCATGCCCTAGGAATTTTAAATCGATATTTGTGCGTATGTGTGTGTTCTTGAGCATTTGTGTTTCAGCACATGTGGAGGTCATTGTGGGACTGTGTTCTGGGGATGAAACACAGGGTGCCAGGCTTACCAGCAAGTGCCTTTACACATTGAACCATCTCACTGGCCTAGATCATTGCATGATAATTTTTGTGCCACTTTAAAAATAACTTGGTTTATTTGACTATTTGTTGATTTTCTTTGTTTGTTTCATTTTATGTTGGAAACAGCCCCATGCAGTCCAGACTGGCCTCCAACGTTCCTTGTAGCTGAGAATGACCTTAAACCTCATCCTCCTGCTTCTACCTCCCATGTGCTAGGATTACAGCTGTGCACCACTATAATCAGGCAATTTTTACAATAATTTTTTTAAGCTGGGAAATAAGAACTGGGGCTGGGAGATGACTCAGTATATAAAGCACTCGATGTGCAAGTGTAAGGACCAAAATTTGGGTCTCCTGCAGCCACGTAAAAATTCAGGCAGTCCCAGCAGCCAGTTTGTGATCTGAGCACTTGGGAGGAGAAAGCTGGGCAAGAAGACTTGCCTGAATCTGTGACCTCCAGATCCACAGGGGGACCCTTCCTGGGTAAATAAAGTGGAGAGCAATCAAGACACTAGCATCAGTCTCTGGTGTCCACACATATGTGCACACATGTACCCACACCCATGCAAAGGTACATATATGCACATAAATAATCAGACAAAAAATAATAAGACAGGATCATCTAGGAAAATTCATCATTTTCCTAACCTCTAGACAGGGAAAGCATTGATAAAGATAATGTAATCTAGAAAAAATTATGTGAAATTAATTTGAAATGAAAGATAACTTTCATGTCCTAACATGCCTTTGTGTGTGTGTGTGTGTGTGTGTGTGTGTGTGTGTGAGAGAGAGAGAGAGAGAGAGAGAGAGAGAGAGAGAGAGAGAGAGAGAGATCAAAACCTCAGTAAGTTTTTTTCAAAGGGGCAGGGGGCAGAGTTCCCAACAAGGTCTATCACAAACTACTGTTTCTCAAGAGCCTTCCTGGTTGACATTGAGAGCTGTTTGAAAACCTTTATGAGTTAAGTTGTTGCTCCTTCCTATGGAAAGATGTCAGTGACTCACAGCTAGTGTTGTGTTGTCTATCAGCAAGGTCCTAGGCACAGCACTCCATAAAGCCACCTTCTGGATGAGCTCTGCCATGTGTTGTGTGACTAATTAGATGGTTGATTGATTCTGCCACTCCAGGATTATGGAGTTGGGCTGATAAAAAAGATTGCCTCCAGTCAGCACCAGTCCCCAGGTCACAATGACAAAAAACAGGCTATTTCTTACAGACTGGGTAATCATTCACAAACAGCATAAATCAAGAACCTAATCATTGTGTCTAGTTAAATCCAGCTGTTGAGTCAGAATGAGTGATTTATTCATGTATTCCTCCATGAGAACATTAGTACCAATTCCCATAGTACTCTGTAGTACCAGATTGTGTTCTCATACTCAGGATCCCTGCAGTGGACAACAGAAGAAAAGCAGCGAAATTATTGAGACTGATGCTATGAATGAGTTCTTACCTAAGAGGGACAGGAAGTTCTGCAGCGTAACAGTATTTCTGTTACTGTAACAAATGTCTGAGATAATCAACTTAAAAGGAGAAAAGGCTAATTTTGACTCACAGTATTAGAAGTTTTAGTCACTGGACCCTGCTGCTGCTGAGCCCGTCACATGGAGCACATGGTGAAGGCAGCTGCTCACCTTATGGTGTCGAGGAATCAGAAAGAAAGGAAGGAAGCAGAGCCCGCAGTTCACTCAGGGGATACTCCCCGTCATCTGACTTCCTCCCACCACTCCTAAGTAGTGCCACCAATGGGACTAAGCCTTCCACACGTGGGCCCTTATGGAGGACTAACCCAAATCATGGCAAGTGGCATGAAAACATGCTTACACATTCTAGCCACACGGGCATGTAAATTGCTTTGTTGATCTCCTTGGGAAGGCAGGCGATCATTCAGCCTCAAGTCTATTAACTTGACAGAAGTCACAGCATCTTATGGCATCCTAAGCTTTCTTCACTATAATAAAGTTCCTTGTTGACAGTCTCTGTGTAACTGTCTTAGCCTCCATGGTCCGCAGTGAAACCAAGGGGAAGTGATTAGCAAGTAAAATTTTAATTCTCTGGTACCCTGGGCCATAGGCATGGATCCTTGTTGCACAGGAAGGGGAGGCCTGCCTGTACTCGGGAATGTTCCGGGGACAACGAAGACCTCACAGTTCTCAGAGAAAGGGGTAGGAATAGGAACACACATCTCCTGGCATCACACACTGCACCCACAGCATCCAGCCTGGGCGCTTGTCTACCTGTGCTTGGCTAATGAGGGTTGATGTTTTTGCAAAGAAGCAGGTTAGGAGTAATGAGGAGTGAGTAGGAAGCGGGCGTGGGTTCTTTTTCAGAAAGAGAATGCATGTGTCTCCCCATCCTCATTTGTCCGCTTCTCTATAGGGACTTGTTTCTGCCTGTCATTTAAGAGACTCGCTGGATTGGGAAATCTCCAGTGTTCTTTCTCCTGCTGTTCTATAGATTGGAATCCTTTAAAGGAGGCCATTAGGTGACTAGAAAATGTGGGCACTTTTCTCCCTTTTGAGATGCAAACTTAAGAGCCCCTAACAGAAAAATGAGAAAAGTCTCACTTAGAAATATTCATTTAGATTTAATAAAAAACTCTCTACCAGGAAGAAAAGTTTGGTAATCAAGATTAAAAATACATCAATCAAAGGTGAATTCTAACTTTTAAAATTTATCATCAAACCTACATAGAAATTTTGGTTCTCTAGTGCCTATGGTGAGACACTTTGAGCAGCCTTGGTGCAGGGAGGAGGGGCTTGGACCTGCCTCAACTGAATCTACCAGGCTGACTCAGAGGAGGTGGGAAGCGGGGGGGTGGGGGGACACACGGTGTTGGGGGGAAGGCTGGAGATTGAAAAAAGGAAGGACAGGGGAATCTGTGGTTGATACGTAAAATGAATAGAAAAACTCTTAATTAAAAAAAGAAATTTTAGTTCTGAAATAATCAATTCAGAGATTATAGTGATTGCCTCATTTAGCTGAGTGAACCCTCAGCTTTCTTTGGTGACAATACCCAAAAATGCCATAGCAAAATTTTATGGTGCCTCTAAACTAAAAGAAATAATTAAAAATTGGATCATAACACCCAAGGTATTAGTGGAGGACAGGCACTGTCTTGTCCTTGTCACTCACTGTCAACCAGGAGATTACAGTGTCCAGGAATGGTAATCAGTGTTTCCTGCGAGGTTCTGAAACAGCTCAGCTCTCCCCTGTGCATTAGCTGCAGCACCTGCAAGCCTCAGATGGCATCTTCCATCTCGACACGCGCCTTTCCATGGAGCTTCAGCAGCCAGCCCGTCCCTCAGTCCCTGACATTCTTGCTGCTCTCTTTTCTTTGCCTACAGGAGAAGCCATACCAATGCTCAGAGTGCAGCAAGGCCTTCAGCCAGAAGAGGGGCCTCGATGAGCACAAGAGGACGCACACAGGAGAAAAGCCCTTCCAGTGCGATGTGAGTTGGGATTCTTTTTCCTTCCCTGATACTCTGCAGTACCAGGAGGGCTGTCTGTTCCTGTTGTGTGCGTGTGCGTGTGTGCATGCGTGCATGTGTGTGTGTGTGTGTGTGTGTGTGTGTGTGTGTGTGTGTTGATGCCTTATGCCACTTGTAACTCTGGGCTGCATGTTCGGGGCACCCATATTTTATTCAGTACGCTTTACTAGCAGCAAATAAACTGTGATTTTCTTCAGGATATCTTCCAATGTTTGATTCCATGGAGCTGTTAGACTTCCGGGGTGTAAAGTGGGGATAGTTTGAGGCAACTCAGGTGTCTGCCCAAGTCTGTGAAAGTTAGTGACAGTTGAACCAATAGAGTGGATATGGTCAAAATATATTATATGTGAGCCTGAAATTCTTTTTAAAAATCAGACTGTAAAAAATATATTTAGCTACTCATAGATGTTAAATACAAACTGACTTTTCAGAGTATGTATATAAATTCCTTTAGGTTAAATAATGCTACTTAGGACATTTCCTATTTAGGATATTTGAATTGAACTGAAATAATTTGGCATAACTGTTCACATTATTTTTGAAAGGGAGAAGTACTACTGTCCTTAGTAAACTTAAAAAGAACATTGATGGGGGAAATGATGTTTTTCCTCCACTGGTTGAGTCAGCTGATCAACCCAAGTGTTAGAGAAGGCACCAGGGTGCCTGTTCTTGACACATAAATATAAAAAAGAGCATCAGTGGAAGTTAGAGTGAGAAGAAACACTGAAGTTGTAATGTGTGAAATAGCTCAGTACAAATTCACTGTAAATGCTGAGTTCACTCAAGAGTGTAATCATCCCATGGGCATGTTGCAGCAGGGATCATATAGTGAGAGGAACCCCAGTGAAGGGAAACTCAGAAACACGGGACCCTGTCCTGTGAAACTTCGCTGTAGGCTAAAGCAGCAATGTACTTGTACTCATAAAAATAACTTCTTCTCCAGCACACTTTAAGAAAAGCCACCTGTAGCAAGAGAAATGCGTAAGAATAGGACATGGTCCTGAACTGGAGCTAGCTTAATAATTTCAATTAGTTTAATTCTTTTATAGATACAGAACCTATTTAAGTGCCTTACTGTACTACACAAATAACTGCTTCAGGCCTGAACTGATCTGTCAGTGGCATATGGACACCTTGTTCAACCCACCACCATACTCAACACCCCTCTGACATGTGCCGAATATTTTTTGTTGAACATGTCTCTGGGTGAATTGATCTATGGTGTTACTTGTTTAGCTGTAACTTACAAGCTATTTTTTCCTGTCTCCATCTCTCTCATTTACTCCTAAGAGTCAAAACTCCCCAGTTATAAGTGCCTCCTAAACTTCTCTGGTGTGCAGCCTGCTCAGTGGAACGGAGGCTGTCACTCCTCCAAAATCACCTCCTCCTGACTTTATTCTTAACCTGCTCCTCTGTCTCTTCCTCTATCCTTAGCCGGAGAACTCCCAGATCCATTACTTCCTCTGAATTTCTGTTCATATTAGCAACTGGAGCCCTTACCTTTCCTCATCACTTCAGAAGTCCGGTGTGTTCCCCTGGGCACCTTCCACATGATAATTTGAGACCTTTTTAAAAGTTAAAGGATTTATTTACTTACCTTGTGTGTTTGTATGCATGCGTAAAGGCGTGCCATGGTGTAGGTGTAGAGGTCAGAGGGCAACTTGTGGGACTCCACACTCCTTCCACCATGTGGGTCCTGTGCTGGCTAATCTTGGTTGTCATCTTGATTACATCTGGAATTAACTAAAATCAAAGCCCCTGAGGACACCTGTGAAAGATTTCCTTCCTTAGATCATTTGAGGTGGGAAGCCTCACCCTAAATCTAGGCCACTCCTTCAGGTGACAGTGCGCATAGAAGGACATGGGGGAAGGAAGCTTTTGCTTCTGCCTGCTTGCCCTCACTCTAGCTGGAAAGTTTGTCTGTCCTGATGCAGAGGCATTTCTTTCCCTGCACTAGCACCCACTTCTTCAGGACTCCAATGCACTCTGAAAACTAGCAGCTCTCTAGGACTTCCTTGGGACTCTAGCACCAAATTGGGACTGCTGAGATTTGGCCTTTCCATAGGAGACACCACACACACACACACACACACACACACACACACACACACACACACACTCACTCACTCACTCACACATATATATGGCGTACATGTATGTTATATATTTGTTCATTTGATCAGTTCTGTTTCTTTAGTGGATCCTGATTAATACAGACCTGGGGGTAAAGCTTAGCTCATAAAGCTTTGCAGCAAGTGCTGCTGAGCCATCTTCCTGACTGTGAAGGGTTTGCTTAACTTAAAGTAGCCATTTTTGGTGGCATTTAGTACATTATCCTTGTTGTGTAATCATATTTATCCAGTATCAAAGCATTTTTTCTTTGCACCAAAATAAAAAACCAACCCAGTTAAGCTGCTTTCTCCAATTCCTCTAGTCCCCAATGATCACTAATCTGCTTTAATTTTTTTTTTTAGATCTCCCTTTCCTGGATATTTAATATAAATGAGTTTATGCAATAACTGACATTTGAGACTGACTTCCGTTTTTAGGATGGATCCACAGTGTGGCATGCGTCTGCAGGCCATTCCTTTCCGTGGCTGATGATACCCTGGTGTGTTTATCTATCAAATGTGCTTAACCATCTGTCCATCAGTAGTCACCTGGTGTTTCTGCTTTTGCTGTTTTTACCTATTGGCTGTAGCAGGCACAAGTGTACATGAATTTGTTTTCATTTTGGGAGGATAGAATTCTGGGCTGTGTAATAATTTAGTGCTTATTCGTTTTTAATTGAAAATATTTTTTCTACAGCATTCTGATCAAGGTTTTCCCTCCCTCATCTCCACTCAGATCTTCCCCACCTTCCCACCACCCATCCAGTTCCATGCCTTCTCTCTCTCTCTCTCTCTCTCTCTCTCTCTCTCTCTCTCTCTCTCTCTCTCTCTCTCTTCCCTCTTCCTCCTTCCTTCCCTCCCTCCCTGTCTCTCAAACAAATAAGCCAATAAAAACTAAAAATATAAACCACATATACACACACACAAATCCACAAAATTGGAAACCATAATATGCAAACAAAGTAAAAGTAAAATAAAAAAGGCCTGGAAAAAGTATTGAGATAAAACATTTTGCAAAATATCACAGAGCTTCTTTTGTGTTGGCCATCTACTGCTGGGCATGGGGCCTCCCTTGAGTGTGGTTTGTACACCCTGTTAGTCATAGGAGCTGAACCATGTTATATTCTTGTCAGTGGAGTATAAGGATCCAGTCTTCTCCCATCTATGCATACATTTTCCCTGTTTTTGTTTGTTTTTTCTTTTTCAAAAGTATAGCCATCCTGCTAAGTGTGAAGTATTTCACTGTGGTTTTGAATTTACCCAAGTTCTAATGAAGTTAAGTGTCCCTGTGCTTGTTGGTTAGTTTTCTGTCTTGGGGAGAAGTGTTTGCTCAAATGCTAATTTTAAAACTATGTGCTTAGGCTTTTCTTTGTTGAGTTGTAAGAATTCTGTGTAAAATCCTGAATATTATTGCATGCCATGCAAATATTTTACTTTGAATAAATACTTAATTCTGGAAGTATTCTTTCTGACTTTCTGATAACATTCTAGGCACAAACATTTTGATGTTATATTCATTTTATATTTTTCAGAATTTTATCATAATTTTGTGTTATATATAAAATTTGTTGCCCAGTCCAAGGTCTTTTTGTTTTTATCTGAACATTCTATCATTTCAGCTCTTATATTTAGGTCTTGGATCTATTTTGAATTGATTTTTTTATATGGAGTCTGTTAGGGATCCATTCTGTTTGTCTTCCACCTTCATATACAGTGGTAAATGTGAGGGTTTTTAAAAACCTTTTTATTAATTCTTTACATCATACATCCCAATCCCACTCATCTCCCCATCCCTCCATATCTACCCTCTGCCCTTAAAACCACCCCATCCAAAGAAAACAAAACAAAACAAAACAAATCTCACCATGGTCTCTGTGGTGAGTCACAGTGTGTCACACAGTCTACCCTGTTGCCCAAACAGCTTTACTTGCAAGCGTTCATTGCAATGGGTCATTGGTCTGGTTCCAGGCCTCTGGCTTCTACTATCACTACTAAGATTCTCACTGGGACTCCTCTCAGATATCCTGTTGTTGTCTTATGTCATGGAGATCATGTAGCCCTGGTTCTACAGGACTGGCCCTTTCAGGCACTCCAACAGTTTATGGATTGCATAGGTGTTGGGGTGGGCCAACTCAAAGTCCTGGATCTAGCCCTGGGTGGTAGCTGAGTTGGTCAGCCTTCCTGTTTTCTACACCTCACCATGGGGGGCCAACTATCCCCCACTTTGCCCAGGTGAGGGGCAGACCAGTTCTCCTCCTTCTCTCTACTCCTGGTGGCAAGGGGCAGGCTGGTTCTCTGGTGCTCACATCTTTGAGGCCAGCTATCTCTCACCCATGCCACCAAGGCCAGTTCTCCACACTGCTGCAACAACGGGCAGGGCCACATCACCTGTTCTCATGTCCTCTGGGCCTACTCTCCAGCCCGCATTCCACCAGGGTCAGCTCAACTGTGCTGCCCAGGCAAGGTGTGGGGCCCACTCTCTGGAGTGCTGTAGCCAGTGACGAGCTGGGTCCAGCTCACCAGCTCTCATGCTTTTGGGACCAGCTCTACTGTGCTGCCCAGGCAAGGGGCAGAACAAGCTCTCCCATACGTATGCTCTAGGACCTGCTCACTTGCCTGGTGGTTGGCAGCATCCTCTGGGGTGTCTTCTGCCCCACACCTCTCAACGAGTGGCAGGTCTCTTCTGCCCTCTTGGCCTTAAATATGAGTTTGTAATAAACACCTTTGGTTATACTGACAAGTTTTTTTAAAGTGGATGTTTGTTTTTAAAACCAACAAACAATCCTGAATTTTATCAAATGCCCTTTCAATATCGGTATGTTTGTCTTTTTATTTGTTCTACTAATATGACATGTTCCTCTGTTTGCTTTCCTATTTGAAACACCATTGCAATCTTGAAATAAACCCTACTTGGCCATGGCTTACAAGCCATTTAATAGAGAGTTACATTAAATGTGATTGTTTCTTTGTGTGTGTGTGTATGTGTGTGTGTGTATGTGTGTGTGTGTGCACGTGTGTGCATCTGTGTATTTGTGTGTGTGTGTACTTTTGCATCTAGATCCATAAATGTTGACCTCTACTTTTCTTTCTTTCTAATATCTTGATCTGGCTTTGGTGACAAGGCTATGCTAACTACAGGTAATAAGTTTTCAAAGTGCCCTTCTCACTGCAGGAAAGAGATATTGCTGTAACTCCGAATAATTGGTAGAATTCATCTGTGGGGTCCATCAGTCCTAGACTTTCTTTATTAATATTTTTTATTTGATTCAATGTCTTGATGTTGATGTTGAGTTGTTGTTTTCATGTTTTCTTAAGTGAGTTTGGTAATCTGACAAACAGTAAAATAAAATCCACTTACCTACTTGACTGACAGTCAACTATGATTGCTGGGTTTTCCATACTATCCACTGGACCGTCTTGCTGGCCCTTAATTAGTTACTTTTTTATATACTACAAGTTCTGTGAAAGTAGGAGTTTTTAAATTGTTGGTTTCTGTGTTTATAAGCCTAGAACTAAGCTTTAGATATAGAAAGCATGCTGTAGGTATTTTTAAGAATGAATTCTTGAATGAATGAACGGCTGTCCTAATTCATGTCCAAATCATGTCTGGCTTAGAGAGGACCAGTTAATAGGCCTCCCTGATGGTAGCTTTTGCCCTTCTGGTTGCTGACTGAATGGCATTTGTCTTAGTCTCTGTTAGAATGCTTCAGTGAATTCCTACCAGTTCCAAGATATGTTGCCACTTCATTTTAGGATTATTCAGATCCTCAGACTTTATTCCCAACCTTCAACTCAAGCTTCTTTTCCAGTCTTTTCTCTAATGACTTCTAAACCTTTCTTCCATCAAGTAAACGGTGTTTGCACAGCCTCAGTTCCCTGCTTGTCCTCTTCTCTCCTGGCAGTGCCCCTCCTCTCTTGGAGATAATCCTTCTCTATCCCTGCCATGTGCTTCCATCCACATCCAGGTCTTGTGGCCCCACTCTGTAAGCTTGTCCCAGTTTCTTCTAGACACTGAGTGTGCTCACATCTGTGCCTCTCCTGGCACAGAGCTAACATCCCTACAAGTATTTATCCTAGATTACTGACTACCAGAGAAAGATAGTGTGTCCTTTGTCATTTTATTACATCAAGTGCTATATGCATTCATTGTGTTATAAGGATTTTTAACTCAAGTTTATATACAATTCCCATTCCCAACTCTGAAAGTATTTCCTTTTCAGTATCTTGTTTCACTATATTCTAAAAGAAAATCAGTCTGCCTCTCTCTTAGAGTAATAGTTAAAAGTGAAGCTTTCCCATTTTTGGTATTTGAATCGGTACTAAGTCAAGACAGGGTAGGGAGTCCCTGGTGGAAGGGAAGAAAAGGAAGTGTCTCTGTTGCACAGTTTAACTCTCTCTTGCCTCTCTTGTTTTCAGTGTGACTATAAATGACCTAGCATGGGGCTGGTTTATTCTGAGCATCATCAGAGTCTTTTAATGGCTGTACTTAAGCTAATGAATGCGAATATTTTCACATCTAAGTAGTCCTTTTCCCAAGTGTGACATCAGCTGCTCTCCACTGCCATATAAAGCTCTACTCAGGCTCTCAAAGAACAGTCTCTCTTGGGTTGTTTCTATCTCTTCTCCTATGTG